CATGTATCGCTGCTTTTAGCTAAACTTTTAATCTTATTAATGTGTGCGTTTGCTCATGAAGTGAGTGAAGAATTTTGAAAGTGTACAAATGGACTTGAATAAGCAAAGAAAAAGAACTTCAGTGGAATTGGGTGCATGGAGAAGCTCTCACTCGCCAACGTCGAGCTTATCTAAATGTTGCAAATGTTCTTAAAACCTATCAGCCACGCGCAAGAACTGAAGGACATCTTTTCCAGGTAAATTCCCTTCTACTTCTTGGAACACGAGAAAAATCGGCTTCAAGACAAATATCAATATAATTTAGCCAGAACCACCAACTCCTGGTTATGTGGCCGTTATTGAACCAAACGAAAAGAATGAAAAAGAAGGTGAAGATGAAAAACAGAGCGAATTCACAAATGCACGGGATGCGGTAGGATCCTTGTAGGAAAAAAACTTAATATACCCTCAAAGATTCCAAATTTTAGCACTATGCGGGAATGTACACTACAGCTATGCAACGGAATAAAGAAATGGAGCTTATGAATAAAGTAGGGAAGATAAAATCCTCCTCCAAGAAATGATCCTTGCAGAAAGAACTTTTTTTAGAATGCCATTGAGAATTCATCGCTTGATGCAGCACAATTAGAAAACATCAAATTAGTTCCTGCAGATCCAGAAAAAGACAAAAAAGAGGATGAAGAGAAAAAGAAAAAAGCAAAAGAAGAGTATTTGAAGCAATTTGAAAAGCCATTCTCTTGTTAACAAAACGATCTACATATGGTAGTAGTTTTGTTTCTAGTAAGAATTATAGGCGTAAACATGAATTTCATGTACATATTTGCAAACAATAATGATTTTATGGGTATTGTTCTGAATAAAAACGTATTTTTGTACTAAGAGAGCTCTTGAATTATGAAAACTCGATAGTGTTCTTAAGTTCTTAATTTTAAAACCATGTCAGATTGAGGCAGCATGAATGGAAACTGACTGGAGAAAATTCATGAAATGAACGCTGAGTTTCTATTCCTTACAACGCTTCTTGTCTTATTACAAACTCGCACGTGACCCGCAATTTCATTGCATTTATTGACCCAGCTGACCTGGTGGTTGACTGCGAATTAACTCCGAGTTTGCTTAGAGTTGATTCTTTTTTTT